TCTCTCTCTCTGTGTGTGTGTGTGTGTGTGTGTGTAAATGGCAGGTTGTAGCTTTTGTTACCTTTGTAAACCATCAATCAGCAATGGCAGCTCTGCATTCTCTGAACGTGAGTTTCTTTTGAAGTTCAACTTTAGGCTAACTTAGGTTTGTTAAATTCTGCTATTGATTTTAACATAGGTGGCCCAAAAATGCCTATTATTTCTGTGATTTGTTCAATTTCCAACAACTGTGGCATCTAAATAGGAAATAAACAACTCTTTAAGTTCATCTCTGGTCAAGAATGCATGACAAGACCAGCATTTTGCAGGGTGTTAAATTTGATCCTCAAACAGGCTCGACTTTGCACATCGAATTAGCAAGATCAAATTCGAGACGAAAACATAAACCAGGTTTGCATAAGTTTGTCCTTATCGCCATTCCTTGTAGCACTACCAAGTGTATGTAAATGCTGATTTTTCTGACAAGCTCTAACAATGTATAATAGGAAGTGGTCCGTATGTTGTTATCGATAATAGAAAAAAATCTGATGCGGATGCTGGGGGATCATCGAGTGATGGTGGTCAGGAAGCCTTCTTCGATTTTTCATTTTTTTATTTGTCAAAATTCAACCTTGTTTCACTAGTATTTGATATATAGTTATATACCCTGAGCATCTTCCTTAATTGGCACAAACTTGACTTAGTGTTGTTTGTCCCATGACAAAAATGATCGTGTAATTCAACTTTGGATATTTCAAGATGGTGATTCAGATGAGCCTGAAGACAGTGAAGATGATTCAGCAGCTCACAAGAGGTTAAGACATATTTACAAGAATATCACTTAACATGGATTTATTTTGCCTTTAGAGTTTGACAATATGTCCTGGTTTTATAAATTATTTGAAAGTCTGATGTAACGAACCTTGCATTTGACAGCACTGAAGAACTGAACACTAGTGAGAATGTAAGTATATACAGTTTTTTTTCAATTATTATTATTATTATTTTTGGTAAAGCAAATTGTCTTTAACTCTGCTCATATTGGTTATTTGGTTTAATTTCAAGATGACTAATCGTGTTTGAATGACTTATCACAGGACCAAGCAGATAAGAGAACAGATGGTGCTTGCTCTACCTTGTTTATTGCAAATCTTGGCCCAAATTGCACTGAAACAGAACTGAAGCAATATATTTCTCAGTAAGTTGCCTGGGCAAACCTCTATATATAGAAATAAGTATTTATTTATGTGAAGCTATCTGGTAAATTATAGAGTTTGGGATTTCATTGGTTGATTGGCATTTCCCTTTGACATGCATTATTGAAATGTCTGTGCTCTCTCTCTCTCTTTCTATCTTCTTTTTTTCCTTATTTTCCTTTCGGGGTGGTTTCAGATATCAAGGATTCAATAGCCTTAAGGTTAGCGCAAGAGGTGGAATGCCGGTTGCATTTGCTGATTTTGAGGTATATGAATCCTTTTATTAATTGTGAAAAAATTAGTATGTTCAAGTGGTTTTAAGATGTCATTTTAGGTCATCAAGGAAAAAATACAAATATTTATCTTTTTCCTTGTACGCAGAGAGTTGAACAAGCAACCGAGGCAATGAATCTCCTTCAAGGATGCTTGCTACCATCCTCTGACCGTGGTGGAATGCATATCGAGTATTTATTCTTTACTCTTGAACCTAAAATTTCAATTGTTTTCTTTTTCTTCTCATTTTACAACCATTGCTGAATTCGTATATTTTTTTCTTTTTTTTTTCGCCATTTGCCTTTCAGATACGCCAGGTCGAAAATGAGGAAGCCCTGAAGAACTCTTCATTGAGAGGTGAAAAAAGAAATCTTCACGGCTTTAACCGGGATGTGGCTCAAACCTGGGGCTCTTGACAGAAGCTCGTCGGGTAGGAATGTCGTGTTTACAAGCTACTCTGTAAAATTGCAATTCAAGGATATTCTAACTTGTGCCTTTTGTGTCTATGAAATTATCAATTGCATCTTCAGATTGAGACTCCATTTGCCTTTGGCATTTTATAAGAGATTAGATTTTTGATTTTAAGGATTAATTATTGATATGATATTCACAACTAGGGCTGCAAACAAGCCGAGCTAAGTCCAGAATTGGCATTATAGAGCAATATTTTTTATTTTTTTTACCTTCTCAAGCTCAGCTCAAGATTGATTGAAATCAAAATGCTCGAAAGATTGCTTGGGCTTGGCTCGAGTTCGACTCAAATTCCGAATAAAATTACCATTAAATACATATATAAAATATTATAATATTTATATGCAAGGAGTATTTTAGTAATTGCTGCTCACGAGCAACTTGACCTTCCAATTCCTATATGCTCGAGATCAACACGATAACATGCTCGAGCTCGAGTTCAGTCAAACTCGAGCTCGAGCCGCTTGGTTCCTTTGCAGTCCTATCCCAATATGCCAAGAATATGTCAACCTTAATATTGTCACATCATGCAATTAATTGGGTTATCAAATTCAATTTCTCAATAAGTGGTTCCAAAGAGATTTTTAATTTTTACTGCTACCACAGCTATACATACGACTGCAAAAATCTCAAACTGCATAACAAAACACAATTACTAGCTCTATATCTTGAGAAATTTTGTGCAGACATCGCAAAACAGAAAGTCACAGAGCTTTTCTTTTCTATTTCTCCCTGAAATTCGAGATTCGATGTACAGTCGAGACAAAGCTTCGAGCTAAATGGGCCCACTACGCTGCTCGTTTTGCAACTGGTGTTGGCCCGACCATATTCTTCCACTCCGACTGCCCAAATCAAAACCGGGCGTGCCCAACTGACTCGAATCCATAGCATCACCTTCAAGTACTCGAAGCACCTATGTAAAACGAAAAAAAAAAACAAGCAAAATTCTTACTTACCTTTGAGAAAATAGCTAGGAAATACCGGGGAAAAAAAATAAATAAAAAATCTCGATCCTCGTTTTCTTCATCTTACTTGAGACATGCGTGGCCTCGCTTGAGGGTCTCGTCGTATGCACAACGATGCCGCATGTAACATGCAGTGTACCTCGCCTTCCGAGTAGTTATCTCCTAGTCGAGGGTCCACCAGATCGTCAACCGCGTAAGCCTCCAAAAGCGGTCGTGCCTTGATCCAAACATATCATACGTAATAAGATGATAAAATTGTCAGAATCAGATGTAAACACAGCATATTATTTAGACCAAAACTCTTCAACTTCAATACTGATAACAGGCTTTTTGTTTTTACCCATTCTGTAAGGCATTGTTGGCCTCTAGGCCTGTTTAAGTCCACTGCTTTACGACCAGTGACGAGCTCCACAAGCACCACACCGAATGAATAAACGTCGGCTTTTTCCGTGATTTGTCCGCTTTGAGCGTATTCGGGTGCCAAATATCTGTATAAAAAACCTAATCAGTGAACAATATATAGTGATTCTTATGGTTGGTAAAAATTATATTTTACTACTCACGAAAATCAAGTAGCTAAGAAAAAATAAATACCCAAAGGTCCCAATGACTCGGGTTTCAACTCCGGTCTCCCCATCTGGCTGCCACCTAGCCAGACCAAAATCTCCCACCTAATTAGTGAACAAATATGAATCAAGTTTTGAGCATTACATGTAACTTAAAAATAAATCAAAGGTTATAAAAGTTCATACCAAGGGTTCGAAATCATGAGTGATGAGGATGTTATTGGGCCGCATGTCCCGATGAACAATGCATCCAACCCGGCATTCTTCGTGAAGATAACGCAATCCACGCGCTGCCCCAACTGCAATCTTGTGGCGTGCGGCCCAAGAAAGCGTAGCGTGATGGCGCCCTAAGAGAATAATCAAATGAAACTGCTAACTGTAATTCATACACATTTAGAACTATTGATAAAACATGCAGTTGGGCTTTCAATCTACTTAGACTATGTTTGGTAAATGTAGTTGTAGCTTTTCAAGTGAATTTCGAGCTTATAGGTGATAGCTTATGACTTATGTCTGAAAAGCCAACTTATATGATAAAATTGTTCGGTAAACTAGCTGATAAGCTAGTTGAAATAAAAATTTCAATTGACTTATTTGAAAAGCTACACAAAGAAGCTTATGAAATAAGCGCAAACTTTTTTTAAAAAAAAAAAATTCATCCTACCAAACCAAACTTATTTGAATATAAAGAAGCTTATAAGCTAATAAAATAAGCTATATAAGCTAGGTTATACGCTTACCAAAAACAAACACAACCTTAAGGATGCAATGTGCCGGTCAAGTAAATATAAAAATGGTCTTAACAATAAAAAATGGTCTTAAAAAAAAATCATACCATAAAGATGAGAATCGAGAGACCCGTTGCATATATACTCGTACACCAGCAATCTCCTTCCATCCTCGATACAAAACCCGATTAGCATCACCACATTACGGTGCTGAGCACAACTCAAAACCTCGACCTCTGAGCAAAACTCGTGGTCCCCTTGAGAACTCGCCAGCTTGTGCTGTTTAACCGCGATAGCCTGCCCATCGGACAGGACTCCTCTGTGGACCGATCCATACCCGCCCTCGGCCAAGAAATTCGCCCGTGAGAACCCTCCCGTGGCAAGCTCCAGCTCAGCATACGCGAACCACCTAGGCGGCTTCCCGAAGACGGGAGTCTTGTGCTGGCATATTGAACACAAAGGTGGGGGCCCGCACGGGTCACCGCCACCCCTCCTCGACAAAGCAATAGCCTCCCTCAAGCTTCCGCTTAAATCGAGGTTCTTCGAGCGGTGGTAGCTCGTTGGGGAACGGCCGTCGTTGTTTTTCTCGAACAGGACATTTGTGGAAACAACGGGATTTTTAATTTTCTGTTTGACGACTATTTCAGACAACCTTAGACTAGATGACGAGGAAAGGCTCTCGCTGTCCGAATCCGAATCTGACTTGATGATGTCATCGTGATCGTTCTCTTGTTTTATGGATATCGATTTTTCTTTCTGGCTGAAGTCGTATTTAGGGTCGGTTATGAAGAAAGGCGAAGAAGTCCCGGGTTCGGAGCTCGAGACAGACGAGGTCCCCGCCGTGAACGTCTCGGGGCTGCTTGAGGGAGTGACGAGGGGCCCACGGGCTGGATTGGGAGAGCCTTTTTGGGCTACTCGTTTATCGGGCTCCTTCGGGGCTGAACAGACTAGGTTCAAGCGAAGGACCTTTGGCTGGGACCGTTTCATGGAGACGATGTTGCATTGGAGCTCCTCCATGCAGCACTTTTCCTCGAGTTTGAGGTGTCTATTT